AGTCTGGACCAGATTGGAAAAGAAACTTGGACCATATTTTGTTTGATTGCGATTTATTGTTATTATTCGTCGGGAGCGTCGACGTCTTCTCTTCCGTCAACCAGAGGGACGCACGGCGGAGCGATCACCACAGGATTCAATAGTCTGGCGGGCACTCGGAAGTCGTAGTATCCCTTGTCCGAAATTGCAGCCACAAAGTCCCTCACGTTGTCCGGCCGCGACAGGTCACAATACATTCTGAGATAGTCCAGTGTCTTGGAACGAGTCGTTCGCTCCATCAAGAGACTCTTCACCTCGGGGAGCGCCAGTGCCCAGAATCGTTCACTTAATCTATAGTCCGTCACAGTCTTTCGGATGAAATCCTCGCTCTTGAGCATTCGGAGGACGAAGCAGTGCGGCGAGTGCCGAGCGTGAAGCACCCAGGGGTCTTCTTCTTCGTTGAAGTTTCCCATCCACGCCTGCATTCAGCAATAAAAGCAGGTGACGTCTCCTTCGGCTGTCTCGCATTCTCTCATAAAGAATCCGGCGTTTGCAAACTCTTTGTAGTACTTGGAATGCCTTCCAAATGACGTCATTCTGTCCATAACGTTGCACATGGTGGGGTGAACTGGTGACTCGTAGACTACTGGGTCGAAATCCACAAACAGCCGTGGGTCCCGATATGTCTTGATAAATTTGCAGTCTGGAGATGCGGCGGCGTGGAGTTTATGTGGATGCACCCACATTCCCAATGCCGAGGCGTTGGAGTTTGAGAGTCTCAGGTATTCGTCTGTCACAACGAGGTTGCAATCTTGGCAGAAATTTACCCCGAGGAGGCGACGGAAGCCGGCAAATGCCATACACCTAGGTGTCGGGTATCGCATTTGGCAACCCTCGAAAGTTCGGAACCTTGCAATTACGTCCTGCATCTTCGTCGGTACTAGTACTAGTCGTCGTGTCGTGATGTGTAACACTACTCGCAATATATATATATATATATATACACTAAAGGGGGCGTTGCAATCCATATAGCTGACGTCAGTAAGTACACAAAAGATATACGCATATTTCGGCTTTAGATGATAACAATTTTAAGTGGAGGGGGAGGAGCAAAGCAACAATCTTGTATGGATTTTGACCTTTGTTACTAAGAGCGCTGTTGCTACAGGCTGATAGCTGTATGGGGGGAGGGGGGAGGGGAGGGGGGGGGGCGTGGACAGTCTGAGGTATCTTGCCCTTTCTGACTAAGAGCGCTGTTTGCTACAGGCTGATAGTTGTATGGGTGGGGGAGAGGGGGGGAGGGGGAGGGGGGGGGGTGTGGGGGTGTGGGTGAGGGTAAGGAGGAACGTGGACAGTTTAAGGTATCTTGCCCTTTCTGACTAAGAGCGCTGTTGCTACAGGCTGATAGTTGTATGGGGGGTGGGGGGGGGGGAGAGGAACGTGGAAAGTCTAAGGCATCTTGCCCTTTGTGACTAAGAGTGTTGAACCTTCGTGTTGCGTGGGGACGGTAACTTCGAAGACAAAAATTTAGGTAGAAACAAAACACCCCTTTAATATTTTATGACCAAGAGTGTTTTAACCTTCGTGTTGCGTGGGGACGCTAACTTTGAAGACAAAAATTTAGGTAGAAACAAAAACACCCCTTTAATATTTTGTGACTAAGAGTGTTTTAACCTTCGTGTTGCGTGGGGACGCTAACTTTGAAGACAAAAATTTAGGTAGAAACAAAAACACCCCTTTAATATTTTTGACTTTTAGAATGAAGAGTGTTGAACCATAGTGTTACTAAGGGTGGTGGTAATGACCAGGGAAAGTTAAAAAGTTGACAAGACAATGAATATGAAGTAGTTTCAATTTAAGCTTAAACAAAGTGACTCATAGAAGGGATTATATAAATGAGAACATTTTCGTGGTAGTCGTATCAGCAAGCCAGCACAGGACAGACACTGTAAGTTTCGTCTCAAAATGTTTTCTAGAAAATTAATTTATCTTCAAAGTCTGGTCACTGATAACTGTCGAGTGTTCGTGGAACTGATCTTACATTCACGCGAGTCTCATCGCCAAGGTCAGATGTCGAGCGGTAACTAGATATGGAAATATGCAAGGTTGGTTGTTATTCGAGTGGTTTTTGACGTCAATGCTACTAATAGCTCGCCGCCAGAGAGTCACATGGGCTGTGAGAGGGGGGTCTTAGTGAGGTATAAAACGGGCGACACACTACCACCGACTACTAGCCTACCCTCTCCCTCGCAGCAACGACAGGACTACTACTACTGGCAGACATGGAGTCCAGGCGATTTCCAATGCCGACGGCACGACTAGAAGCTCCGGGCCATCATCTGAAGACGCCGGTGAAAGCAACCTTCAATCATTCGACCATACCAGCCTCGACCAGTATGAAAGTATTTGAAAGTTTGAAGCGAAAGAAAATGACCAAGGACAAAGTGAAATTCATTCCCGGCGTCGTTCCGAGGACGTGGAAGGAGATGCCGCAAGACTACGACCTCCTAACGGTACCGGTGAAACCATCTCCTCTTATCATTTTATTAATTCATTTCGCCATGTGGTCCATAGCTAATCTGGACAATTCTCCCGTTGATTCTTTAAGGCATTTATTCATCGATTACCTTAACGAAGAGGTGGCCCGCATGATGAGCGAGAGACATGTAACGAAGGAATTGTTAAAGTTTCTCGAGGATTCTGTAGCGTCGGCCCCCTATTCCGTTTGGCTGCCGGTGGACGGAGACTCCAGCGAAAATGGGGTATTTTATCGTGGCGCACGTGAAAAACCTAAACACGTGGTGCAACCTCTTTTGCTCACTCACTATCAAGGGTATGAATGCAATCGCGCCCACGTTGTTTTAAATATGTTTAACGGCTACAAGGGTAAAGTATTTTATCCTTATAGCTACACGTTCAGTCACGATAGCAGAGATAAAACTAATAAGGTAATTCTCCTGCAATATTTCATCTTACCAGCGCTAACGTCGTTGACGATGCGCCGAGAACTCGCCGAGTTTATTGGCTTAAGTATTAATATTGAAAAGCATAGGGCCCTCATGGTAAATTACATTTGCGAATCCATTAAAACATTGGTGTATAAATCTGTGTTTTTTTATTCGTCGGAATTTAATCAATGCGTGAATGTAATTGCAAATATTGAAAGTCGGAAAATGACGGATAGAAAAAAATCTAAATTGGCGCAACTCATAGAGTATCCGAGCATTTTGACCGATCCATGGGTTTACATCTCCGGGGTCGGCCTATCAATTGGGGACTTTGATGTTGCAGAATTCTCTAGAGGACTTTTTTATTCCACGGAGTACGAGTCTGTCGCTCGGGAGACATCGGAATTGATGACATCTTTATTTTTTTATGTATTGTATGTTATTATTGAAAAACGGCGGGTGTGGGATTGTCGCCTCGTTGTCGAGTCTAAAAACGAATCTATCCTGGCGGCCTTTTATAATTTAATATCGGACCTCCTGCGACCATTCAATTGTAACGCTGCCGCCACATGTTCATCCGTACTAATACGTCATAACATGGCGTCGCAGGAGGACCTGAATTACGGCCGCCTGGATAATTATGATACTCTTAAAACTCCGAAAAACATTAAGGCTTTGAAAACCTTTCTCGGTTTCTCCTGCGTGACCGAATATACCAAAGTAGTGACCAAAATTTCTCAAAAGTCTAGTCGCCGCGTCTTCGTTATGCACCTGTGCAATTTCGAAGACGAGGCGACCGTCGAAGCATTTGTGAAGAAATATTTCGATGCGACCACTCTGTGGCCATTCGTCCTCGGTCTCTTCATTTATTTCAGTACGAGGGAGGACGAGGTGCTGACCGAGGAATTGCTCGACCTATGGTCGAAGCAATGTCCGACCCTCCTGGCCACGTCGATGAACGTGGCCAATACCATGATGCCGAGCAGGTTTTTCAAAAACGCTTCTATCATGGACACGGTTCGGACAACGATTGGCTTCCAGCAACCTGTTGCTGAGTCGACGCCTACCGGCGACGAACAGCGATTGGTATTTGCCACGTTGTCTAGCCAGGAGGTGTTTGAAGGGATCGAGGACGACTCGATTAGTAGCCCGGGCTCCGCGAAAAAATCCGAAAGCGTCCAATCTGGCAACAAAGACTCTTATTCGGACGATGACGAATTGGATATTGCAACCGAGATGGTATTGAAGAACGCAGGAGTGCCAAAATCCAAAATTGATTCGTCGGACAGCGAGGAAGAAGAAATCGTGCGGTACACCTCTTCTTTCAGGAAACGGAATTGTCTAGACTCCGATTCTGACAGCGGACCGATTCCAAAAAAACCTGTATACTATTCTGAAAACGAAATTATTGATATCGACTCGGATGACGACCAGAACAGATCTTCATCGACATCATCTCCGGATTCTCTAATTAGGCCCATTGTGAAACGTCGGAGACAAATTCTATCCGATTCAACGGATGACGAAATGGTCGAAGCCCAAAAAAGTAAAAGTCCGTTCTGGTCGGACGAGCCGTCAACGCCAATACCAGAAAGTCCCTGGCTGTCAGAGTCGGAGTGCTCGTCTTTCACCGGACCGGTGGTATCGTCTTCCGCGGTTAACGCGGAATCATTCACCCCCTCACCCAAGTCTCCGATCCTGCCGCCGTTAACGCCACTACCAGAGAGTCCGAAGCTCTCGGAGTGTTCGTCCTTCACCGGACCAGCGGCATCTCCTTCCACGAGCAACTCGGAAGTATTATCCCTTTCGCCCGAACTTCCGATCGTGCCGAAGGCATCGCCCAACGCCGAACCGCTCCTGCAAGAGCCCGAGTCCGAGCTGCCACATCCATCTTCATCACCATCAAGTCCGCAGCTCGAGCTCTCATTTTCTCCATCACAGTTCAGGACGTCGCCGTCGCAGCTCCTACTGCCGCCGTCGCCAGAGACTGTATCCAAGATCGCCGGCGCCGGTGCCAGAGACTCTACTTCCACCAGTGCCGGTACCACAGACTGTAGATACAACATCGCCGGTGCCAGTTCCAGAGGCTCTGCTTCCATCACTGTTGGTGCCACAGACTCTACACACAAGATTGCCGGTGCCAGTGCCGGAGACTGTGCTTCCATCACTGCTGGTGCCACAGACTCTACATACAGGATCGCCGGTGCCGGTGCCAGAGACTGTGCTTTCATCACTGCTGGTGCCACAGACTCTACATACAGGATCGCCGGTGCCGGTGCCAGAGACTGTGCTTTCATCAGTGCCGGTGCCAGAGACTGTGCTTTCATCAGTGCCGGTGTCAGAGACTGTGCTTCCATCAGTGCTGGTGCCAGAGACTGTGCTTCCATCACTGTCGGCGCCAGAGACTGTCTTCCCAAGAGTGCCAGTGTCGGCGCCAGAGGCTGTGCTCCCATCAGTGCCAATGTTGATGCCACACACTGTGCATACAACATTGCCAGTGGCGGAGGCAGAGACTCTCTTTCCAACAGTGCCAGTGGCGGAGGCAGAGACTCTCTTTCCAACAGTGCCAGTGGCGGAGGCACAGACTCTCTTTCCAACAGTGCCAGTGGCGGAGGCACAGACTCTCTTTCCGACAGTGCAGGTGCCGACAGCACAGACTCTCTTTCCGACAGTGCCACTGGCGGAGGCACAGACTCTCTTTCCAACAGTGCCAGTGCCGACACCACAGGATGTCTTTCCGACAGTGCCAGTGGCGCAGGCACAGACTCTCTCCAACAGTGCCAGTGCCGACAGCACAGACTCTCTTTCCGACAGTGCCAGTGGCGGAGGCAGAGACTCTCTCTCCAACAGTGCCAGTGCCGACAGCACAGACCCTCTTTCCGACAGTGCCAATGGCGGAGGTAGAGACTCTCTTTCCAATAGTGCCAGTGGCGGAGGCACAGACTTTCTCTTCAACAGTGCCACTGCCGAAAGCACAGAATGTCTTTCCGACAGTGCCAGTGGCGCAGGCACAGACTCTCTCTCCAACAGTGCCAGTGCCGACACCACAGGATGTCTTTCCGACAGTGCCAGTGGCGGAGGCACAGACCGTGCTTCCAACATTACCACTACCAGCGACGTGGGTGCATGGTCAAGATGCGCTAGTGGCACCACAGTCTGTGCGATTTCTACCCTCGTCAATGTCGGCGCTGCGGCAGTGCGATGAAGTGCACGTCCCATTTACGTGGCATCGGGAACAAGTACCGGTGGCGGCGGCGGCGGTACCCACCACTCATTCTGTATTATCGAATGACCATCGGCAGACGATGTCGACAGATATTTATTCATCATCGCTTCACTCTGGATTTTGTCCACCATCGCTTCAATCGGCATTTAGTCCACCGATGGCTCATCACCTTTCTAAGGCAGTTTTTGGAGATGACTCCTCCTCGACATGGTCTGAGGCGAGCGAAGACTCTAATTCGTTATTACGTCAATTGCTGACAGCACCGCTTAAAAAGAATACGTATTTTTCACCGATGCAGAGCGCATTTCAAGCTCTGTCAAAATTGTCGGAAGCGGAATCGTGCTCTACCCCGTCCTTTCCCTCGGAGGAGCAGCTGGAAAGGGAATACGAGTCTGTTACCACTTTACAACAACTAGTGGCCATCACCCTAAACGACGACGTTCCAGTCACTCCTTCGAGCGTTACGGGTGAAGATATGACAGACGAGGACGTGGCAATGGTAGCCGACCTGATTGATTCGGTCTACAAAAAAGACTCTAAAAGCGACAAAGTAGAAGATTTCTTTGAAACTGCTCTGCATCAGGCCATGTGTGAATACAATTGCCAACACGAAGGAGACGAAGAAGAGGAGGAGGTCAAACGCCTGCTTGTGGACCTGGTGAATAAGGTGGTGGCGAAAGTTGTGACGGAGACTGAAGAGCTCGACGAGGAGGTCATCCTTCCCCCAAAAAGTGAGTGTACATATATAACTCCTTGTTGTACCTTTTTTTTTTCTAGCAGAGTGTATCTGATGGGATGGAAGATCCGACGCGTCTCGTAAAAATCGGGATGCTATTAAAAGAACGTCCTAGACCGCCTCGGCGAGTAAGACCGTCTAGAACGAGGAAAGAGACTGGTCTTTAATTTGTATATATTCCTTGATTTACAGGTCACAAGATTCCATCCTTGCAGGAGCAGCGGAGCAAGACCATGTCTCTTTATGACGAAATACAAGAATATCTAGACAGTTTAGATTATGAGGTGTAAATAAAGAATTGTACATATACCGGACCTCTTTGTCTACCTGTGGTGATTACTTTGTCAAGAGACGAAGTTCGTTATAGAGGGTGACTAGCCTCATGCGTGACTTGCCCTTGACCCGCAGTAGTCTAGTCAGGAGCCGAATAGTGTTTAGCGAAAAGGTGTGCTTATAGCGAATAAAGATCGGGTTGTAGTTTAGATCGCTAAAGTCTCGTATCTGTTGGAAGCTGCGAAAGGGATACTCGTGAAAGAGGAGTCTAAAGAATAAGAGACCCAGAGTCCAGACAGCCGAGGCTTCGGGAAGATACTCGTGCTCTAGGAACCATTCGGGCGGCGCATATTCGAGAGTTCCGCAAAAGGAGGTTCTCGGTTTGTCCGAGTCGCGGAGAACAAAATCAAAGTCGATGAGCTTGATGTCTCCGGTGTCGATGTCGACGAGCACGTTTTCTTCTTTGACGTCGCAGTGGAGCAGGCCAAAGAGTAGCCAGCAGTCGTAAACGATTCTGACTATCTTGATGAAAAGTAGAATGGCTTCGCGTTCGCGAAGTCTGTAGCAGTCGAGGTACTCTGCGAGGGTAACGTCGTTTTCGGAACGCTCGGTCACGATGACGTATGGTCCACCGCGGTCGATTTTGAACCAGTCGTACATGTAAATTGCACCCGAAATTAGTCTGACCTTGAGGAGGTTGGAGACTTCCATGGGGACGCGATATTCCGACCAGTGCCAGACCATGGTCGAGTCGATGCATTTTGTAGCGACCGGAAGGTTGTCGGAGATGCGTCTGCCGGCGTAGACTTTTCCGAAGCCGCCCTTGCCCAGTCTGTAGGTCGTATCGACGTCGTAGCCTCGTTTCGCCAGCTCGAATTCGAGATTAATCATCGTACAGGGAATAGACGCAGTAAACGTTTTTGCTCACGAAAACGTCACCGAGAAACGTTTTTTCTATATGTCCGTCGGTCAGCTTGCGCTCTATGTAGACGTTATCATTGTAGGCCGAGTTTAGGATGTTGCGAACGTCGCCACCCGTTTGAATGCTGTAGATCACCTTTATCTGGTGGTGAATGCCGAGCACGTTGGGTAAGTAGCGCGTGGACATGGTAGTGATGGGTGGAGGTGCGATTTTTATGCGTGCAATTAAATGGCGCAGGGTGGGTTAAATGACTAGACGACTGCGGTGTCTTGTTGATCCCAATCGTCTATTTCCTCAGACGGATCTTCTTCTTCTTCGTCTTCTTCGTCTTCGCTTTTGTTGAAATGCATTTTTATGTAATGTTCTTTGAGCCAATCGATAAAGGCGCCGATGGTCCGAATGTCTTCCGTTTTGCTCTCGTCCTTGTGGAAGATGACGGAGTTTTCGATCAAGACGGGAGAAGAAACCGGTGGTGGTACCGTTATGTGCGGTAAGATGGATTCGCGAATGACCTTAGCAATCGAGGTCGCCTGATCTCGTAGTTCTTCCGAGACCACGACCGTGCTGCCATCGGTCTCTGACTCTTCGACGACGTAGTATTTATGAACCTCCTCCATTTGACGCGATATCACTATCTTGTGGAGAGACTTGATGCGAAGAGGGAGTTTTTTCTACACACTACAAAAATAATAATCGGGCATGAAGTGCGTGTTTTTAGGCAAGGGGTCGTATGCTAAAGTATACAGGCTCGTGTTCAACAAGGACCAGAGTGTGGTGATAAAAGTGCGTAAGAACAAGGGGAGCGAGATATACGCCGAGTATACGATCCTCTCGGTCTTGAGAAAATGCGGAATAAGCGAGGGCATACCCCAGTGCCTGAGTAAGGTAGCGTTCGACAAGGGCGCGGCGATAATATTTGCCGACTCGGTGAGTAGGCCCCTAGACCGGATACTATATCACGACAAGAGCTCGATAAACTTTAGAAGCGTTTTTAAGCAAGTGTTTCGCACGTTACACGCGTGCGTGCAAAAATGCAACGTCTTTCACTGTGACATAAAGCCAAACAACGTCGTAGTGAACGCCGACATGAAGTGTACGGTCATAGACTGGGGCGGCGCCTACCTGGCTCCCGCTATACACAAACCGAGCGTTTCGGATCCGGCTGCCGTCAGGACGACCATGGCGTATTCGTCACCGGAGGTCGTGGCCATATTGCCGCGCGCGCTCGCCAAGTAGGCAGCGCGCGCGTGGCCTAATGGTTATCGCGCCTGCCTCCCACGCGAAAAGCTAGGGTTCGAATCCTGGAGCGACATGTCTTTTGTTTATTCCTCTAATTTAGTGTTCTGGAGAATTCGAGAATCATGTTGCTTGTTCCAGGCCCGAATGTTCCACGCGTCGAAGTTTCTTCGCCGATTATTCCAGAAGACCACGCATGTACATAAGGGGCTCCGCGTGGCGAGCCGCAGTCAGTTTTTCGTCCCAGCGTTCGACTGTGCTGCTACGCCGACTTCGACGCCCGCGACGCTCTGTTATTATCTTTGTACCCTTTTAGTTTTTGGCACAAGTTCGCCACATTAAACATTTCTTTCTTTCTGTTTATTTAGTGTTCCTTTGGTCACCACCCGTGACAATATATTGCGGCAGCCGCAAGACGAGTTACAATCCGGAACTCCTCATGACATGGAGCCTGGGAGTCTTTCTGTACGAACTTTATTTCCGCAAAATACTCTTTCAACGACCCAAGGAAGACCTGCTTCCCAGTGGAATAGTCGGGGCCTCCAAGGAAACGATTCGTAAACTCGAGTCAAAGATCACCAAGGCTGTGTACTCGGCGCCGGTGGACGTGGCCGAATTGATTTGGCTCTGCTTGGCCCCGTTGCCCGAGGAGAGATGTAGACTGGTGGACATTGAGGCGTACCTTGTCAAGGCAGGTTATTGACGGCCAACAAGGAATTTACGATATAGTGCGAGTTGCAGCTGGTCGTTTCTCGCACCAGGCCTCCGTCCGAGTCGACAAAGAAGCTGGTCCCGTTGATTCGCAGGACGACACCCGCGTCGAAATCGACGCATTTGGAGTACACGTCCTCGGTTCCGTTGACAAAGTAGGGTATCCCGAACCGTGCGAAGAATTGGCCCGACACGTACTTGGCCGCTCCGCCGACGTTGCACACGGGCGGGTAAACGAATCCGTCGTGATCGGCGTCGCACACAGAGTAGGTTTCCAGCACCGAGAGGCCGTCGAGAGTGAATTGGACGGAGCGACGCCAGTATCCACCTTCGCCAGTGCAGACGATGGAGCGCACCATGTTTTCTATCGAGTTGCAAGACATGATGAATTGCTGCACGGGGCGCAGACCGTCCCAGAGACAGTCGGAGAGCCACGCGCACGCCACGTCTCCGTTACCGCCACCACCATCGTTGTCGAAAACGCAAACGCCGACGTCTTTGCACATGTGTACGTAGTTTCGCGAATAGAAATTTACTATGGACGGACCGATGCATCCGAGTGCCTGAAGCAAGTGAACTGACGTGGCCTTGGCTCCGGAGTTGATCATCACGGATAGCGTGTCCCTTTCGTCCAAGACGCTCATCACCGAAGATGTGATCTTCTGCCAGTAATAAACCATGTCTTTGGTGTCTTTAAAGTGCTCCGGTATTTTTCCAAACTCGGCCTTAAAGAGTTTGCTGCAGCGATTCATTTCCTGCGCAGACAAATCAAAGCCGTACTGCGTCATAAAGTCGTCGCAGAGACGCGTCACGCACCCCCTGTGGCGTAGGTAGTCTTCTTCGTACCCCTTACATATCCTGACCGCGAACGCATTGAATCGATTCGTCGTCTTTTTGGTCCACGGGGACTTTCCAAAGGCCTCCGTGATTTTCTCGAAGGTCCAGGGGAATCGTGGCTTGACAGGCGACGCGCCAAACATCCACTCGTACGTGACGTGCTCAAACAGCTGCCGATAGGTCCGCGGCGGCCTCGTGGAGATTGAGCGAGCACGGCGCAAATAGTCTACGAAGGCGTCGTCCAGACGTTCGTCTGGCCACGAAATCAAGACAAATATCGCCATCACCGTATTGTACGAACACTTTATTATGCCCATTCCGTTAATTTCGGAAAATAAGAGGACGGGTAAGGAGTTTAGGATGGCGTCGGGCTCGCAGGGCTTGTAGCTGGTCGAAGAGACGTACAGCGTCATTTCGTCCCCGTCGTAGTCTTGGTTAAAGGAGCCGCTGAGTTCGTGGTGGATGCTAAGGACCAGTAGATTGTCGTCGTCGTACGGCACCGGCTGAATTAGCTGCATTCCTGACGAGTGCCTGCAGAGGAACACGTCCTTGTTCCGCACGTAGTTGTACACCTTGGGGGGCACGCCGACTTGCCACAGGTCAATGTCGGTGTCGCACACTATGACTCCTCGCACCGTGTACATGGGTCTAGTGCCTCCGTACATTTGTCTAAAGAGACCCTTTTTGTGCGCCAAGACGTCCAGCATGGAGACATGTGAATGCGTCCGCCAGAAAAGATGTTGTTGGTGACCGAGCCGTTGTATCGGTTGGAGGCGACGTCCCTCCGTATGTCGTCCGACGGGATCATGGCGTTGTTGTTTGTGGACACGCTCATATACATGGTGTTAGATACGGACGAGGCCGCGTCGTTGCTGCCGCTTCCGCCGGAAGGCAAGGACGAAGAGCAGCCGGCGCTTCTACTGCCGACGACTTTGCCTATGGCCATGTTGTGAATCATCGTGACGATCTTTGCCTTTATCTCGGGAGCTACGACGGGCACGTTGTCGGACGAGATTTCTACGGAGCTGATGAGCTTGTTTAGGATCGGATAGTACTCGCAAGGCCTGTAGACGGTCTTTGGCTTGGACGTGTGATTCTTTTGGGAGGTAGAGTTGACCATGGCGTTTAAAGATCTAGACTCATAGGTGATTTGAGAATGAATCAGCTGCTGCAAGTTCTTGTCCTTCATAAATTCTAGGCGCGCGCACGGAGGTCTCACCACCAGGTATCTGGAAGTGTAGCGCTCGTACTGGTCGGGGTATGCGATGCGAAACGCTTCGACGGCGGCCGGCGATGCTACGTCTTTGGTATTCAGCATGGACTGAATTTTACCCA